CACTCGGGGGTCGCTGGAGCCCTCCAGGCGGCGCTCGCCGACTTTCCGCGGTCGTTAGCGGTGACAGGGCAGGGAAAAGCGACTCCGAAGCCGTAGGGCGACCCAGGGTGACGCTACGTGACAAGCGGAGCGAGTTCCAGGGAAGCGCCATGGGGAGAGCTCCCGGAATCGGCTTTTCCTGCTCCGCATGGACAGCGGAGGGTCCGAGCTCGGCTCGCGGGGTCTCTATTCCCACCGCTCCCCTCCACATACGATGCCCCCCGGAGCAACCGCATCCATCAGCTGCCCGCGTGGCTGCGCTCCAAGTGATCCAGAGGCTCCCGGGGAATGTGGAAGGAGCAGGGAGGTTTCGCAGGAGAAACGCGGCTCCTCCGTCCGCGCGTTTGTACGGCACCAGCCGGGGCTTTATCTGCAGGAAAAAGGGAGCTGGGGAAGGGAGCCTGGCTTCGGACGTGGCTCTTCAGCAAGGCAGCCCCATCCCTGCGGGATGCGGAGCTTCAGCTTCTCCCGGCTCCGCCGCTCCATGCCACAGCAAGGAAGGGACAGCAGTGTCCCCCCCGGCTCTCCATGCGCCCCGGCTCCGGGCAAAGGGCATCCCGGGTGCTCCTCGCAGCCGGCTCCGTGCTCCGAGCGCACGGACGGCGCTGGGCATGAGGAAACGCTCTGTTATTCATCCTATTCCCAAAATCAGCTGCTTTCGAACTCCAGTCTCAGTATCCAAGTGTCCCCCTCCCTCTGCACCCAGCAGGGCCCTGTGCGGATCCATTCCCTGTTGCTGCTTGGCCTCCCAAACAGGAATCGCCCTGCCCGGTGCCAAGCTCAGCTTCTCGCGGCACCAAACCCGAGATCCGACCCCGTGGGGCCTCCCACGCAAACCCCCTTGCCCTAACCCAGCTTGAGATATCAGCGTCCTTGCATCTGTCTTCATGCTCACATGAAATATAGGAAAAATATATGAAATATAGGAAAAATATATGAAATATAGGAAAAATATATGAAATATAGGAAAAATATATGAAATATAGGAAAAATATAAATATATGAATATATGGCAAAATGCTCATATCTCAAGGATGCAACCTCGGCAGAGAATCCTGAGTTTGCAGAACCCCAGGGGAACAGAGGAACTGTTGTAATATTGTATTTTGGTGAGCAGTTATGATGCATTTTTGATCACTCTGGTGCTGTTAGGAAGTTAGCAGTCCAAAGAACAATGTTATAAAATTCAAGCAAAGGGAAACGCAGAGATGTTGATCATGGTGGGGTTCAGCTGCAGTGCTGTCTCCTATCTGCCAGTGGAACATGGTTTTAAAGGACATTTTGCAGGAAGCCGGGTGGGTTGTCCCATCACAGCAGCTCCGTACGGAGCGTTTCGGCTATCGCAGCCGCGTTGCGCGCGGGTTGGGACGCGCAGCCGTGGGGCAGCCCCATAGCAGCCCTGCCGCGCGGCACCTCCGTGGGGCTGTGGAAGAGCCTCTAATTCCATCTGCTTTTATGCAAAGCTGCCTCTGGAATGGCCCCATTTGGGCCAAGCCAAGTGTGTTTTTTTCCTGGGAGTTTCCCATGGCCGCTTGTCCGTCCTTGTGGCGACTTGGGCTCCTTGGGGACCTGAGCGCTGCCTCCCCTCGTGCCTCTCGCACGGCCCTTGGTGTCTGCAGCTTCACCCTGCCCGACAGCACGGGACGGTTCGCAGGGCTCTTGTCCCCAAGGTCCCCAGAGCCACCAGACGTGCTGGGAGGCTCGGGAGAGGAGGCTGCAGCTCTCCAATTCCCGGGATAACCCGTGCGGGAGCCGCAGGAATCGTTACGCCGGGGCGAAAGCCGCAGGCAGCGGCGGCGCGCGGAGCCCCCCGCGCACCCAGCGCCCGCTCCTCTCTTCCAGCCACGCGTCCCGCGCCGTGTCGCCCACCACGAGCTCCCAGATCCAGGCCAGGAAGAAGCGGCGCGGGGTGAGTGTCGGCGCCGGGGCTCGCGGGGCGGGCGCGCCGGGGCTGGGGCGCCAAGCGTGCGGCGCTCAGTACCCATCTCCACGCAGCTTTTTGTCCTTCTCGAGTGGCCCCAAACGCTCCAAAGCCTGGTCCGAGCCATGCAAAGCAAAAAGGAGCCGCTGCACCTTTGCATTCCCTATTAGTTTTCAAGCACGTGTGTTTTTAGCCATCTGCAGCACGGAGGGTTTTACTCTGGAGTCTCCTCCAAGGTTTGCTGGCTTCTGCTTCCCCAAATTCCTCTCCGACCATGTTCAGGAAAACTGATTATTCAGTGTTGGCAGGACAAAAGGGCTGCTGTGATTTCCACTTATCTCCCCACGCTGGCTGCGTTTCAGCAGTGTAAGGCGGGGAGAGCCCTCGGAATTAAAAAGTCTGCAGCAATGTTATGTTTTCCTTATCGTTATCACTTCAGGAAGTAACTAGGTGGTAGAATTGGGTGGTAAAAAAAAACATTAACGAATAACATTCAGGAGCCCTAGGGAGTATAAAGGCAATGTAGAAAATGTTTTGAAGTGAGAAAGATGCGCAGAAATGAGGATTTTTGATTTGCACTGGGGGACCTTGGGAAGGAGCGGTGCTTTCTGCATCCTTGATTTAAGAACACGAGCCAATGTCTCCATCCAGGCATCCGAGCGCTCCCGGGAGGGTTTGCGGAGGGGGGTATCAGGCAAAACCTCCTGCGAGACACAAAATATAAGCTGTAAAATGACAGATTGCTCTTTTCTTCCCTGCTTCCAACATGCAGGGCTCCTCCAAGCTGGAGAAGGCAGAAATCCTGCAGATGACAGTGGATCACTTGAAGATGCTTCATGCCACGGGAGGAGCAGGTAGGAGCTCCTCTTTTAAGCGTATGTATGAACCCAGGGTGAAATCCTGAAGGGAAAATTCCCCAGGGAATTGCTCAAAACAGCAAGGGATATCTCAGGGCTGGTGTACCCTGCTTGCAAGACCCACGAAAAGCTCCCGCTTGGAAATGGAGCCTGGAAAATCCATGTTAAATTCTTTACCTCCTCCCCGGGATACATTTCCTGCACAGGCCAAATTCTGCAAATAAACAACCGGGGTTTCCCCCCCCCCCCTTTCTGTTCTTCTTCTTTTCGTCTCTGGGTTGTTATGAGAGGAGAGAGGGAGCCCTGTGCAAAACTCAACAAAGGTCTCGTTTGTGCTGGGACCCAGCACAGCCCCTCGGTCCTGTTCCAGTTAACAGGATGGAGATGGCAGCCCCAGGAAAGCAGCCTCTGGCTTTGCTTACCACCCATTTCTGGCTTGCCGGGGACACTGCTGGCATCCAGACTTTGCTTCGGAGCCGTGACTTGGTCTGGGACGTTTGTTTAGAGATTCGGTTTGACTGCACCGCGACAAAGGGCCGCATTGTCACGCGGGACCCTGCCGCGCGCAGCGCTCCGCTCTGCTCTGACATTCCCTGCTCCGTTGCTCAGTGTCTCATGAAGATGCAGGAGCCTACGGAATTGGCGGGTGGTTGCACTTTGTCTCCTGGAGTTTTCCTTCTTGGAGCTTTCTCAGCTGCTGCCCTGTGTCCTCCGGCATCCGCTTAAATGGGGTGTAAAGGGCTGGGAGCGGGAGCCGGGCACGGGAGGAGGGTGCTCGGCCGCGCGGACCCGGTGCCCATCCAGCCCCTGTCCCGTTTCCCGCAGCTCTAACCGGGAAACTCCAATTCCTGCCTTCCCGAGCCCGATTAATGAAAACTCTTGCTCATCTGGAGGCTTCCTGGCCCGGGAGGTTTTATCCTAGGGAGACATCCACAGAGCCCGGCTGTCTGCTTGGGGGGTGTCGTGTGGCAGCCAAGGGCCTCGAGCGGATACGCAGGGCATTAGAAACCAGCACGTCCCCGAGCTGTCCCCGCGCTCACCGTCACCCCCGTCCCTTCCCTGCAGGCTTCCTCGATGCCCGAGCCCTGGCCGTGGATTACAGGAGCATCGGCTTCCGCGAATGCCTCACGGAAGTGGTCAGGTACCTGGGCATCCTCGAGGGACAAAACACGGCC